AATCTACTTCACTTTGGTCTCCGAGAAGCTATTAGGCATGTTCACAAATGCCCAAGGTCTACTCAGCAAATTAACTATTTGGATTTCGACACGCGTCTGCAGCTTGGGACCTCATCGCTGTCACCGAAATGTGGTTGCGCTGCGAGATAACCGATGCGGAAATTGCACTAACGTGCACGCCCGTTGTTCCGAATGCTCGAACCGGCAAAGGTGGTGCAGTAGCACATTATTTTCGTAACCACCTGCAATGCGAAAGCATAAAGGATTCGGAAACCGACGTGCCAGGCGCCATTTGGTGTAATTTCCGGCTAAGAGGGAACGATCTTGGCCTATTGGTTGTTGTTTATCGCCCACCATCGTCTACTCCTTATGTGGACAGCAATTTGATGGCTGTGTTGAGGCAAGTGATAAACAGGAAGTACAGTCACCTTCTAGTCACCGGTGACTTCAGCTTACATGTCCTCGAATCCCAGGCCACACCAGGAGAGCAATTCAAAGGAGCTTTGCAAGAGCAGATTTCAGACTACCCTCTTTATGGCCATGTCATTACGCCCACCAGATTAAAAGGAACTGACAGGCCATCCGTGCTGGAGCGAATACTCACCAATAAAGAATTCATGGTCGAGTTACTGATAACCGATACTCCTTTGGGCCACAGTGATCGTGCGACGCTATTTTTTCCTTTCATGTGTTACGCGGATTAGCCTAAAGAGCACGCCGAGGAATATCGTGTCGTAACCAACTATGAAGACCTATCCGACCTAATTGATGCAACAAGCTGGTCGTTCTTAGCTGAGTTAGTCCCTGAGGTGGCCTGCGGTGAATTCGTCAACATATTTACCAAGCTCATGGCAGGGACATCTGAAACCAAAATCTACCGGCCTAGAAGGATGCAGTCTTTCGTAAGGAACAGGACACGTAAGTGCATGGCATTAATGGACTTGGCATGGCACACCTATATAGCCTCCCAGAACGACCATACCTGGGATGTCGACACAAAACAAAAAACCACTGTGACAAACTCGTCCGGGAGGCTAAACTTAAGAACCAAGAAGGTATAGTAGAACAGTTTTGCTCTAATCCCAAACTGCTATAATGACACGTAAACAATTTGCGTCGTGTTAAGCGCGGTATTCCTTGTCTGCACACGGCACGCGGGTTAGCCCAAACCGTACAATAGGCGTCCAACATCCTTGGACAACAAGTTGGCCGTACCATCAAAAGCGCGCAAGCACCATACATCCTGCCTAACCAGATAACGCCGCCATCAGGGCTAAATCGCATACCGTTTACCTCCGCAGCTGTACTGAAGAGGCTGAGATCTCTGCGCGAGTTCAGCTTCCCGGGTGCGGATGGCATTCGACCGAAGGCGTTGAAAGTTGCTGCAATGAGTTTGGCAGGACCATTAGCAAGTTGCTTTCAACGATGGCTGAATAAGATGCATGTCCCCACGATGGGAAGCACGGAATCATCACGCCTATCTGCAAAAGTGGCAGCCGTGTTGAACCAGCAAATTATCACCCGATAACACCACTTCCTGTGCTCTCCAAGGTTATGGAGTCCACCGTAACTGAGGCTTTACTGGGGTGCCTGGAGAAGAACAAAATTCCCGTTCCGAAACAGCATGGAATTCGCCAAAATCACTCCCCTACAACTACTCTTGGTTGCTCGTACAAACTAGTCCGAATCCGTGGATGCTGGTGTAAGAGTCGAAGCGGCCTACTTGGATTTCTCAAAGGCATTTGACCGCATAGACCATCGCATTCTCCTCCACAGACGCCAGAAATATGGAATCAGCGATCCTGTTCTGGGCTGGATAGGCGACTTTCGCGTGCAACATTACCTGAATGTGAAGGTTAGAAGCAAGCTATCAGAATCCACCGTAGTTCAGTGTTGCGTACCTCAAGGCTCGCTATTTGGACCCCGCCTGTTCCTGGTCTTCATAAATGCTTACGAGAATGTGCTATTTTCTAACTGTTTGCTATTTGTTGATGACCTAAAGTAGGGCGCACCATATCTGCAGTGGAGGATCACAGTCTTATAGGATGACCTGGACAAAGCGTACACATGGTCCATCGAGAACGTGTTGCACTTAAACGTCACCAAGTGCAAAGTTCGCAGTATACGGCACAAGCGTATGCACAACCACCGCCTAGGACCACAAATTCTACAGCGGGCTTCTCATGAGTGCGATCTCGGCGTGATGGTTCAAGAAGACCTCGGTTGTTCGAGGCAGAATGAAAAGGCAGATAAGAAAGCGAATCAGTACCTCGGCCTTCTTCTTAAAACCTTCGGGAAGTTTGACCCTTCGATCTTTCCAAAAATGCTTAGTGTGTACGTGAGGCCGCAAGCGGAATACGCTATCCAAGCGTGGCATCCATGGCTTAAGCACCATCTCACCGCGCTCGATACTGCACAACGTGGGGCAACAAAGAGCGTCAGAGGTTTGACTAGCCTACCCTACCCACTCAGGCTGAAGACCCTCAAAATATACAGTGGACGTTATCGGCTTCTTAGGGGCGATCTCATCATGGCGTACAAGGTCCTGAGAAACCCCAACCACTAATACTCAGTCATAATACTAATACTCTAATACTTCCAATACTCAGTCAAAACACCTCGCTAAGAGGTCCCCAGTTTAAGTTAGTCACGCAGTACAGCCGTCTGGAATGTCGGCGAAACTATTTCTCCCTTCTAGTTGCACGGCCTTGGAACGTCCTCCTGGAACATGTAATTAATGCACCCACCCTATACGTTTTCAAAGGACGCCTTGACGATACCCTGTCACATTTACGCTACGTGCTATAGCCCATGACCACCAGATGCTGGCACTAATGCACAACAGACAGGGGATAGTGCCAAACCCTACTCCAGAATGAGTCACTCCAAACGCCTTGCACGAAATTTAATAAATGCTACTACTATAGAAACTGAATTTCTTTATCCTGTAGACTCAATATAATTACACACGAGTAAGCGTTGTCCTTGCTACCTTTTTTATTTTTCTCGCTTGCGATATGAACAATAACCAATCCCCTGTTGCTTTGCGTGCGTTCATTCTCATTTAAAAAACATTTATACGACAGTGCAGGTAATTCTGTAAGCGCCGGAACTGACGACTCCATAATCTCTTCGCTATCTTATTTTATCACGCTATACACCCTACGGGACATGTCAAGCATCTGCTATTTTACCCGTTATAAATCATTGTTCATTGTTCAACACGTCCCCATGTCAACTCGCATTCCTGCCGACCAAACGCCAAACATTCTGGACCTTGTGCTTGCCCCAGATCAGTCAGATGTCACGAATCTAACAGTTCTTCAGACCATCGGCCAAAGTGATCATTGTGTCTTTTAATTCCAGTGGGCACATCGCCTCACGAGCCATACCCAAGGTGGTTGTCGTCGGAACTTTTGGCATGCGGATCCCCTCCGTCTGAAAACGGCCGCAAGCGCCATGGATTGGAGTATTTCTGATCCCATTCCTCTTGATGATGCGTGGTAACTTGCCCATTCCAAAATGACTTCTCTAATTGAGCAAGACGTGCCTATCCCCAGTAGAAAGTCCTTCAAGTGGGGTCCAACTTGCATTGACAGTGAAGCAACATCTCTGATGAATAGAAGACTCATATTGTGGGATCGCTTCATACCATCTCAAACAGAGTTCAATTAATCTTCCTACAAGACTACCAGAAATGTTGGTGTCACGTGGAAACGGCAGTAACGTCAGAAATCGGAACTATCATTAGCAGCACATTCCAGTACGACACCCAAAATGCTTTTCTCTTATCTAAAAAGAAGCACCAGAGATGGAAGTGGCATCCCAACCTTGTGTTCCTTTAAACACCGGAATTTACTATACGAAGACGCTGATAAAGCCAGCTTTTTGGCCCAGCAGTACGCCACTGTCTTCGCTAAAGAAACCCGCCTGCGACAACCCTGTGACCAGTTTTCCTTATCAATTGGATCAAGGAGACTTTAACATCAATTCTGTGGTTGAACTTCTCCTTGATTTAGATCCGCATTCTTCACCCGGCCCGGATGGCTTTGTTATAATCTTCTCACGAGATGCACTTCCAACCATAACAATTTAGTGCTCCAAAAAATTCTAGCCCAACCGAAAGAAAAATGCAAAACGTCAATGACCTAAGGAACAAGGTACACGAGGTTGGTCTACTCGTAGACAAATCTCGTCTTGACACACTTGCTATCACCGAAACGTGGCTGTCCCCGGATATCACTGGCGGTGAAGTATCTTTTCCTAGCTACGCACTGTTTAGATGCGATCGCTCCGTTGGCCGCCAAGGTGGGGGCGTCGCTCTTTATGTGAGTTGTAAAATCGATGTGTTGAGGACCTGTGTGTTCTAGTCGCCGGATCAAACTGTTGCAGCCCTCTTGGTTATTGTGTGCACTTCCTCTGCTAAGTTTACAGTTGTAATGGTATATCGAAGTCCTGGTAGTATCTCCAGAGTGGTTATTGAATTTATTCGTACTCAGGCTGCCAATAGCTGTCTAATACTGGGTGAATTCAACCTCCATGAAGTATGCTAGGCTGATCTATCTTGCAGCTCGGCGGTGGGCACTTTCGGTTCGGATCCTCTTGAGCTAACATTGCAACTGCAGTTGCATCAGTTCGTGGATCTCCCGACTAGATATATGCGCAACCAAATTCCGTCTACCTTGGATCTCATTTTTAGCGAAGTCACACGACTTCGTAAGTGATATTACCTACGACTGTCCTCTAGGAGCCAGTGACCATATCTGCATATCCTTTCGATGTGTTCTAACTAAATGTCATCAAGCTACTCCTGAGGCATGTCCAAAGATTTGGCGGGCAGACTTTAACGCAATGCGAGCCAAAGCTTCAGTGTTGCGCTGTGCGGTCACCGTGGCTGACACGGTTGAGACAGCCGGGCAGAAATTTAAGGCATACCTTACCGAGATCTCTGTTCCCCACATCCTACTCCCTAAGAGAAGGGTGACACGGGCGCAGCCTCCATGGATAGATCATACAGGTAAATACCTGCTCAAGAAGCGCTCTATGTGCTGGCGAACTTACTAAGCGGCTTCATCAACCGGCACCTAGGAAAGCTATCGAGCGGTTAGAAATAAATGTAAGCATCATCTTAGAACTCTTCGTCTGCAGTACGAGGAGGATTTGTCTAACGCAGCCGTAACAAATCCAAAGAAGTTCTTTGCTTACGTAAAGAGAAACAGCAGTACAAACTCGTCTATACCGGCTTTACTACGAGCGGACGGGACCCATGGGCATACCGATTATGATAATGCTTGTATACTTTGCGAACAGTACACTGGTGTCTTTTCTCATGTGGCCTCTACCACAGGTTGAGCTGGTCACAAAAGTTCCGGAGGATTTTGCTTAACTGAAATAAGCATAACGGAGACACAAGTCTTCGGGCTGTTGCAAGGGCTAAATCCTACCAAAGCTTCTAACCATGATTCAATTCATCCGAAGCTGAGGCATGAATTGGTCGCTAAGTGGCCCTCTGACATGCATCTTTAAAATATCACTCGACAGCTGTGCCTTACCTTCAGAATGGAAGAAGGCAATCCTCTGTCCGATTTTTAAGGGCGGGGACAGAGTTCCATCCGCGAACTATCGGCCTATCAGCTTAGCAAGTGTAGTAGTTAAGTGGTTTGAAAAATTGGTCAGGGATTCAGTGGAGAATCACCTGATTAAGTTTAACCTTCTCAGTGCGGCCCAGCACGGATTCCGTAAGGGATATTCATGTCGGACAAATTTACTTGTAGCTCGTGAAAGCTGGGCTGAGGCAGTAGACAACGGTCACGCCGTCGACGTGCTCTTCGTTGACTTCTCGAAAGCCTTTGTTACTGTTGCACATCAACGACTCTCATTGATGTTAAGATCGTATGGGATATCTGGAGCCTCCCCTAAATGGGTGTCTGCTTTCCTAGAGGGCAGAGAACAGTGTGTACGCGTGGGGCGTAGCCTTTCGCTTAGACAAGCTGTTCTTAGTAGCGTTCCGCAGGGTTCGGTTCTAGGGCCGTTGCTTTCCGCAATTTATGTCAATGATCTACCCCAGGAGCTTGGAGTGCCATCGCTATTGTTTGCTGACTACCTCAATCTCTGGAATATTGTGGATATCCCTGGTGGCTCTGAGGCAATTCAGGGTGCCTTGGATAGGCTCTGGGTTGGTCAGCCTTATGGTTGATGCCTATAGATCAGACGAAATGTTCTGTCCTCCGCATTGGAGGTGCTAGTCCCCCCACACGCAATGTAGTTGGTGGAAGTGATCTCCCTGATTTCATTTAGCAGGTTGATCAAGGTATCACCCATACCTCATTGCTTCACTTTGGGGACGATTGGAGGAAGACAGCTTGTAGAGGGTTCCGTATGATGTGGTATATTCGCCGCTCCTTCGGCGTCCTAAGGGCCAATATCTTTGTGAAGCTGTTCTCAGCTTTTGTGCGACCTCACTTGGAGTACTGTATCCAGGCTTGTCCACCTTGTCTTGTAAGGAACAAAATAGTACTGGAGAGGGTGTTGCTCGTGCGTTCAAGATTAGTGCATGGATTACGGGCAAACGCATCCCGAACGGTTGCTTAGCTTGGGTATGTACTCAATGCACTACCGCAGAATTAGAGGAGACTTGATCCTCACTTACCGTATCTTAACTGGTAAGATCGGTCCAGACTTGTCCTGGCTATTTAGTCCCGCCAAGCTGCCTAGTCTCCGAGGTCACCCGTTGAATCTGCACAAACTGCTTTCTGACCGGATAAGGACTGAAAGGCGCTTGTCGCGCCGAATTATTGAACTTTGGAACTCGCTTCCGGAGCAAGTCGTTAGGGAGTCTACGGTAGAGGGTTTTGAGCATCAGTTAGATGCTCTAGGGTGGCAGTACCAAACCTTCCCCTTCTCCTAACCGACTTGAACATTGAACATTGTATTTGATGGGAATAAAAGCTGGAGCTTTACATGACCCATAGGGTAAAAAGAGTACGGGTCGGATTTAATGAAAGGCCAAACAATCTTATAGCGGGTTGGACTCGCGTGTTAGCCGTATCTTCATCGGGCTTATGTGGCATTTAAAACAGAATGCACGCCGGCTCAAAGCGAGACTTGTGTCTTCAACTTTCCCTTCGTTCTTTTTTAATTTTCTTCTCACCTTGGTATTATCATTATTTGGCTGACATTCCTCCTCTTCTTTTCTTAGCTTGCCCTTCACCCTTTTACTTCACATAAACCGGCCTGGCAGGGACTGCTGGGCAGGAAAATGTGGGCAGTAATTGCTTGGACAGGGTGTGATGCGGTCTTCGTTTTAGGCTTTTCAACATCTCACGCAGACCTGTCAATTCCCGATCCAACGATACGCAAAAGAAGGAACATTCACGGGATTATGCTATCGGTCCGGTCCCAACTCAACTTGAACTTGACCTTGACAAAAGAACGTATTAATCGCCGCCAACGGACTCTGTGCAACGACTGCGGAACTTGGCTTTATTTATTGGTCTTACTGAATTGGAAGGTCAGCTACCAAGGTTAGTGGTTCCCCATATCTTTTGCCGAGGTGTCAGGTGGCTTTTAATCACATGCAGATCTAGAACATACCGGAACGTTCGAAATCGATGCGATAATCGCTAACAATCAATTAATCACTAAAACAGTGGATTTCCAAGGCAATTCTTACTTTTTCCCGGACACCTCTCCTGAGATATGATCCGAGGTATAAAGTGAAAGTCTGGGATTAACTTGCAGCCTTCGGGACGGTGTTCTCTTCCTGTCGGTCCATCTTGGGAGAAGTGCCCGAGAATTTTGTTCCGGTGTCCGTGTTCTGGAAGATAGCGGCTGCGAATAGGATGTTCTGTGCCATTAGGAGATCGTTCTCCCGAATGACTCCAGAGGTCTTCAGACTTTTTTTTCTTCCCATGTGCGCCCTATCCTCGAGTACGGTTTGCCTGCGGCCTACCCTTTTACAAAGACTGAACGTGTTATGATTGAAAGAGTTCAGCGACGAGGCTCGAAATCCATCGCAGCGCTCCGTGACCTGCCTTACACTCAGCGTCTTCGACAGATGAACATGTTTTCCTTGGACTACCGTCGACGTCGGGGTGATCTGATTTACACCAGACGGATATTGCGAGGACAGATGGGGAGTGAACTGCAAGAGTTCTTCCAGCTCTGCGCTGATAGCTCGACACGGGGTCACTCTTGGAAACTGTTTAAGCCGAGGAGGGTCCGGATTCATTCTGATTTCACCCTATCAACTCGAGTGGTAAACTACTGGAACAGCTTGCCTGAACTGGTCGTTAATGCACAATGTGAGGAAAGTTTTAAGAAACTTTTAGACTCCTATCTGCTGAGTATGCAAGGATCCTGCTGTTTTCGATGTGACCGTAATGGTCCCTTGCGGAATACCGCCTCGCAACATGTCGCACAATCCTTGCTCTGAACGGGATGTGATGGAGCTGACACAGGATGCCCTATCTGCTCTCTACCACTCCAATGATACTCCAATGATCCCTTGCTCGACTTTGTGCAGTCGTCCACTGCTACCTTCGGCAGGTTGAAGCCTTCCACCAGTATGTCGAACGGGAGATCTGTAGACCTTGCTTCTTCGGGTTGGCACAATGTGGGCCGTAGCTGGTTTGCATGCTGTCATGCACGTCATACATGACGTTTCCGCACTTGGTTTTGACCGTCCCTTGCGTCCATTTCGCATGGCCTTCCCGGTAGTCACGTACTAGCACCTGTCCAAGCGTAAAAGATCGCTTGTTTGCTCCATGCCGCCGGTTGAAATCCTGTTCCATTCTGCGGTTTCTTTCACCAACAGAAGACTCCGAGCCCGGTCGGATGGCGTCGAAAGGCATGCGGAGCTTCCGGTTCATCATGGCCTGTGCTGGAGAGACTCCGTCTGACACTTGTGGATTCGGTTTGATCGGTAGAGGAAAAGGAACCGGTCAACCACCTCTATACCTCCCTCCCCTTTTGATTTGTGGAGAGCTCGCTTGAATGTATCGACAAACCTTTCTGCTTGGCCATTCGACTGTGGGTTAATCGGCGGCGAGCGAACGTGCTGTACGGCGCATCGCTTGCAAAACTCCATAAACGTTGCTGAAGTAAATTGCGAGCCATGGTCAGTGACAATTGTCTCAGGACAGCCGAATCTACTAAAGGTTTGGCGCAGTTTCGATATGGTGGCATTCGTGGTTGTGTTCTCCCTAAGGAATACTTCAGGCCACTTGCTGTATGAATCGACTATAATGAGAAAGCTTCTGCCGTTGATCGGTCTCGCAAAGTCGACATGGATGCGGCACCATGGCTTAGTAACTTTTGGCCATGAATAGAGTACTGATTTTTGTGGCGCTTTCAAGAAATTGGCACACTTTTGGCAGCGTTTATCTATTTCTTCTAGCTGTTTGTCCATTAAGGGCCAGTATATATAACTGCGGGCAAGCGCCTTCATCCGGTTGATTCCAGGATGCCCGGCGTGAAACTGCCGAATATGACGCTCCTGAAGTGTCTTAGGCATGACCACTTTCCGAAAATAGTATGCAGTCGTTTACAATAGAGAGCGAGTGTCTCTGAAAGTACTGTTGCAACTCGGCAGATGGACATGAACGTGGCCAACTTGTTTTGTGGAACTGTGTAACCTTGAGTATTGGGTCCCGAAGCGTTTCGGTTCGTACAGTTTCTGCGGGAACTGGTAGACCGTGCAATGCAACAGTTACCAGAAAGTTGACGTCATGTTCAATCTCGATCGAGGCAATGATTGTGTCCTCATGTTCTTGCTGGCGGGCATCAATTAGGCGTGACAGTACATCCGCTTGTCCAGTGGAAACTCGACTGGTATTGCATCTCGAAATCATACCCCATTAAGATAAGAGCCCAGCGTTGTAGCCGGTTGGCTGTGTAGGCAGACATGCACTTTTTCGAACCAAAAATAGTCAGCAAGGGCTTGTGATCTGTCAGAAGGTTGAAGCGGCGGCCGTGTAGCATTTGGTTGAATTTCTTGACCGCGTACACTATGGCCAATGCTTTTTTTTCAATCTGGCTGTAATTCTTCTCGGCCTTCGTAAGTGTTCTGGCGGCATGGGCGATTGCTTTCTGAGATCCATCGGTGTACGTGTGTGATATTACTGCACCAATCCCATGGCTTGATGCATCTGTGGCCAAGACAATCTCTTTGGAGGGATCAAAATGTGTCAAAAGCAAGTTAGAGGGCAGCAGTGACTTGACGCGTTCGAAGGCATTCTGGCATTCTGTTGTCTAGTTCCATGTCTGGCCCTTGGCTAGTAGCTTGTTTAACGGGACACGTAGGCGGTGCATCTCAGGCAAGAATGCGCTGTAGTGGATGATGAGCCCACAAAAAGAACGCAAGGACTGTAGATCTGTTGGAAGAAGCATTTTTCTAATGGCTTCTATGTTTTCCGGATCTGGTCGACGTCCGTCCTTTTCGAGGATAAAACCGAGGTATTTGATGATCGGCTTGAAAATGTGCATTTATTTTCACGGATCCGGAAACCGTGCGACTGTATACAACCAAGCACTTCATCCAAGCGGTTGAATAGTTCTGGTGTTCGACCCATCACTATAATATCATCCAGATATGCAGCGGTTCCAGCAACGCCCGCTAGCATGGTATCCATCGACTGTTGGAAGATGGCTGGCGCAGTTTTCACACCAAATGGCAAGCGGTTGTACTGGAATAGCCCACTATGAGTGTTGATCGTCAACAACTCCCTCGAGACTTCGTCAACATCCACTTGCAGATAAGCAGCCGATAGATCAAGGTTAGCAAAGTACTTACCACCATAAAACTTTGCAAAGATATCCTCCGGTACAGGTAATGGGTACTGGTGGTCATCATCATCATCAACAGCAGTACATCAGTCATTGGAACTGATGCTTCGCTGCCATACAACCATGAGAACCTGTAAAATAAAGAATAAGAAAAGGGGAGAGAAAGGGTGACTTACCTGAAAACCTTAATGCCCTAAGCAAACATTCTGGGTCAAGGCGACTACACCTTTTGTAGACAACATACCGTCACAAACAGCTGGTTATCGTGCAAAGATAAGGCGGCATCGGCGAGACATCTTCCTTGCGGCTTTCACTGCCACGCGTCATAATCAGCCATTACCCCGCAGATAACTCAGCACCAAACATACTTTAAACAGGCAATCCGATTAGAAGACGGCAGCAGACGCGCCACTGGTGTCGGTTGCGAGCCATGTCCTGCAAAGTCTCGAGCCAAGCACAAGGTGAGTCACGTGGACTCCAACCCGGAAGGCGAGACGGACCAACGGCACCCAGTTTGGTTGTCAGTGACTTCATTTCTCGCTGCCAAGTCAACTTCTGTCCACCTCGAGCCTTGCGCCATCCTACACCAGGGAGACTGAACAAGGCCCTCCTAGGTAAGCGGTGACCAGGCATACGTAGCACGTGCCCGAGCCAACGCAACTTATTCAGTGCTATCTGTTGTTCTAGGGTGCTAGCATGATTATCACTACCTAGTACTCGCCTACGCACATCATCGTTGGGGATACGCTGGTGCCATCCGACACCAGCAATGCTTCGCAAACAACGATGATCAAAGACTTGAAGGCGCCTCAGATCTTCAGACCGAAGGGGCCAAGTTTCACTACCATAGAGCAGAACGGCCCTCACTGTGGCCTTGTATACACGGCCTTTCAGACGGAGAGAAACTCCCTTCTGTCGCCAAAGATGACGCAGGTTCAAGAAGGCAGCTCTGGCCTTTGCAATGCGTGAGCTCACGTCAGTTTCTATGCGCCCATCATTGCTGATGCAGCTGCCAAGATAAGTGAAATGATCAACCACCTCGAGTTCCTCGTTAGCAAGCGTCAAGGTGTCATCAAGTGGCTGGTGGTCCTGCAGCAACACTTTGCACTTTGAAGGTGTGAAGTGCATACCAAATAATGGGACCACTCTGGACAGGCTATTCAGGGTTGATTGTGCCGCCGCAAAATCGTCGAAAAGCAAGACGATATCGTCCGCATAATCTAGGTCAACTAACCTTTCACCAGGCAGCACTTCAACGCCTACATCGTTGGATTCCGCAAGGGAACACTCCATGATAGAATCCACGACGAAATTGAACAAAAACGGGGAAGTCGGACAACCCTGACGAACGCCACTTGTAGTCGAAAAGCTATCCGATAGGACACCATAGACCCTGACGCGGCCTGTAGTGTTCGAGTATAGAGCACGAAGGATGTTCACATATTTCGTGGGAACACCTTTTCGCGCAGGTATTTCGAACAGAATCGATCGATCGACTGAATCGAACGCACTCTTGAAATCGAGGAACACAGCTATTGTCGGTCTGCGGTATGCGTGGCGCTGCTCTAGCACCTGTCGCAAAGTGAATATATGGTCTATACAGCCACGTCCTGGGCGAAAACCGGCCTGCTCTTCCCTAATCCGAGATTCCCGTTCTGCAGTGAGGCGACGAACGATAATCGAGGCCAGCAATTTTGTCACAACTGGTGTTAGGCTAATACCCCTGTGGTTCGCACAG